TTTCCAGGAATTTAAAGTGCAAAATAACTGGTTTTTCTCTAATCTGTTTTCTATAAAATTTGCATGATAAGAGAAATGGTATAAGAACCTGAGCTCCAAATGGTAATTATAGTTACTTGTTTTTTTTTTTTTTTACATTTATTTATTTATTATGTGTGTGTGTATGGCCAGCTCAGCCCACCAGGGGGCGGGGCCGGCTGGCATGTGGTGCTGGGGGATTGAACTGTGGTCCCTGTGGTTTGCTAAGCTTGTTCCAAGTAGGTGCTTTAGACCACTGAGCCATCTCACCAGCCCCAATAGTTACTTGTGATAGGTGGTCATTAAACAATTTAGTAAGTACCATGCTCTCATTACCCATAATTTGCTGTGGACTGAGCAAGCACATGGTCATTCAGGGTGCTTCCAAGGAGTCAGGGAGCTATTTTTATTTCCAATAAAAATTCTCCAACATCCTTTCTTTCATTTATAACCTTATTCCACAATGTTGTGAGACCATGAGCTCTGTTCTTTATCATTGTGAGTAGGCATCTATTATAAAAGACTAAGATGATAACACTTGGGGTTGATAAGCATCAAATGCAGGGTTTCACTCCATGCTTGACAAGCAATGTGCCCCTGAGCCACAGCACCCTCAGTGTTAAACTTTTCTTTGGATTCAGATAGCCCAGAATGACACAAGCCACTATTGTTTGCAGCTGAATTAGATAGAAATATATAGGCAGTCAGACAGGGCTAGACCCTCAAGGAGACAGCAAGGAAGACAAGATACTTTTCAACTGTGAGAGACGAATGCTCCTGCCATGGGCCAGACCTAAAGACCAAAGACTGACCAAATGCTTATCTCCTTCAAGATAAGCATCTATGACTAACCTTGAGGAAGCCAGGAAGATCATTAATCCAACTGTTACTGGCTGCCAGTTAAATTCTGGTTCTACATTCATGCCTACTTGCTACATGTTTTCCCATTTGGTCCTGGATTTAATCAAATTTACCTCAGCAATGGCGTTTGTAACCATATTGGTTGACCATGGTTTTGTCCCACCTCATGTCCACCTGAGTTCCCATGTTCTCCACCACTGACCAACCTCACCACATGGTTTTACTCTATAAAAATCCCTGGGAATAATAGTTTCCTGGGGCAACCTGCTCAGGTTCCAGTTCTGTCCTTCTCTTGGACAGGAGCTCTCTTTCCCACAATAAATATATTCTGCTCTTAACCTCCATTTTTCTCTAAAATTCATTCTTCTGTTTTATTTTTTAACAGACAACATTAATTTTATTTGCATTTAGTTTATGCTTAATTTATTCCTGTGCCATAAGTTTTTGTTTCTTCAGTTTCTTCTGGGATATCTTTTTCTTCTGTGCAACTTCCTCTTCTGGTTTGGGAACAATTTGTTCCTTTTCAGTAAGGATCATCTCAATATGGCAGGGGGAGCTCATGTATGGATTAATCCGGCCATGAGCTCTATAAGTACGGCGGTGCATCTTGGGTGCTTTGTTCACCTGGATATGTTCAATAACCAGAGAATCTACATCTAAACCCTTAAGTTAAGCATTACTCTGCATTTTTAAGCATGTGCAGCAAAAATTCAGCACTCTTTTTGGGCCACCGACCCTGTGTCCAGCCCCACTGTTTGGCCTGGGCACACCTACCAACTCTACCATTTTAATGCCGGAATGGTACACATTGCTTCTTTAATGTGACATGCTTGAGATACTTGGTGGCCTTTCGGATATGCATACCCTTGATGGCCTGGGCAGTTTCACGTGTGTTCTTAAAGTGAACGCGAAGATTTGAGCCTCTTGATTTGCATGATTTTGTGGGTTTTTCTGGGTCAAGAGAGTAGCGAACCATTTTCACAGTTCACCTAAGGCCGCTTACAGGAAGAGCTCATTCTTCTGTTTTAGAGAACACAAACTTGTCCAGGTATCTTTCACATTGGGAGTGTCATTCCCCTACATCACCATGACTTGGGCACTATGAAGAAATTCTGGAAATTTAAGATTCACTGTGACTATAAAGACAGAGATCTGAAGAGATGGGTTATGTATATGAGACTCTTCATCATAAACATTTATAAATATGAGAACCTGCACATCTGCTACTAAAAGGAAGGAAACCAGGGACCTAGCATGTCACAGCTGCACCCAGCTCCAGCCCATGTCTGAATCAGGGTCTCCTCAACCTCCTCTTTCAGCACTCTCTCCCCAAATGGGTATAGAAGAGGCTGTTCCTCTGGTAACACAAGACAGTATTGTGTGTTATGGGTGTCACAGTGAGGACAGATACAGGGAACTGGGAAGTAACTCAGACCCAGCACACAGATAAAGGGATGAAAGTACCAAAGACCAACAGATTCTCAGGGTCTGGAGCTAACCAGAGAGGCTTACGTTCTTTGTTGCTGGCTCAGGCCACTTCCTTCAGACCTCCTGATTCCAACCATCCCTAACTTCATCCCACAATGCCCCCAGTGCATGCCTTCAAGATTTCATGGAGTCCTTTCCTAAAGTATGTAGCCAGTAGAAGTCACAGAAAGTGGCAAAGCAAGGTGCCAGCTCCCAGAGGCATGCTTAGAGTAGTGCCATAACAAGGCAGTTGCCTTCTACATTGGCCATCCTGATTGGACAGTTCATACAGCCCGCTTCTATCACTGATTGGCTCCTGCCACACTGTTCTTCCTTTGAGCCAAAATTAGTAGGAAATCACAAGTGGTCATAAGGTAAGACAAAACTATGGTCAGCCAATAAGATTACAAGTATAGTTGCTCAGGTAATATTAAGTGGGGATCAAATGGGGAAACAAGTCAGTTGGTAAGCAGGCAAACAGAACATGGGCTTTTCCTGGAGGGGGTAGGTCTTGCTTCCAAGGTGAGGGATACCTATCAATCGCTACTACTTATCTCTAGGGAAGTTACTGTTTTCCTTCCTTTCCTCTTCTGTCTGGCCCTCAAAGGATATGCCTTCCTCAGAGTTGCAATGTACCCTGTCTTCTACACTGACTCACTTGAGGGCCTACCTCTGTCTGCCTATGATACTTCTACCTTAGTTGTGTTCGTATTCCCCTCTGAAGAAGTACTGCTAAAACAACTGGAGGGAAAACAATGATTGTTTTGGCTTCTTCAGGTTGAAAGGGATCATGGCTGTGATCAGCAGACAGAAATACTTCTACAGAGGGTCTATCTAAATGCATTCAGGGCTGGGGAGAAGGCTCAGTAGAATAAGTGCTTCCCTGGCAAGCGCAAGGGCCTCAGTTCAATCCCCGGTTCCGGAAAGAAAAAAAAAAATTGAATTTCTGTTCTAAATGCATTCAATAAATGCCATGCATTCGTTTCTTGGGTAGGCATACAGCTTTAATTCTATTTCACTTTGGCTCTAGAATGTAGGCAGGTCATATGTAGCTCCAGAGAAATATCAAATAGCTCTTTTCATCATGGAAGGGTCAAATATCTTCCATATTTCAAAGGACTAAGAGACTGACACTCATTTCTCCATCTGTCTATCCACTTATGTTGGTGGAAGACCTCAAAATAAAATAAAGGAGATACTCCCAACCTGCTAGATGTCTGGTTGGAGTTCATGTTCTCTAAAATGGAACAATGTTAGGAACAATAGAGGTTAAAAGTAGAATCAGGGGCTGGGGAGATGGCTCAGTAGAATAAGCGCTTCCCTGGCAAGCTCAAGGGCCTGAGTTCAATCCCCGGCTCCGCAAAAAAAAAAAAAAAAAGTAGAATCAATTTATTGGAGGAAAGAAACAGACAAAATGGACCCCGAGCAAAATACCACAATGTGCCTTTGAAGCTGCCAATGCTGGAGCTAGGTGAATGGGTGGAATGTTTTGCATAGTGCTGAACACTATGCACCTGCTTCCTGATGAAGCCAGCTAACTGAGGCAGTATGATGAGAAAAACTGAGAATTGATTTGTGACTACAAACAAATGTTTGTTTCTGTTCTGTAGACATAGCCTAAAATAAAAAATCAAAAGTCTCTGATCAACTGTTGAATGATTCCAGGTGAAGAATCCTTTCCACACATACATTCAGAAGCTCAAGTCTGTTTGGATCCAACTGTAATGAGGAAGAAATTCAGAATACATGTTCAAGAATCTACACAAGTGCTAAGAGAACTGGGAATTTCTTTTTTAAAAAACTTTTTTATATTTATTGTTTTAAAAAAGCATCAAGAGCAACAGCAAAGTAGCTCAACAGTATAAGCTCCTGCCTGGCAAGTATAAGGTCCTGAATTCAATTCCTGGTACAAAAAAAAGCATCAAAGTGTTCAACATTAATGGTTTTTTGGTGCACAAAGTCTAAAAAGGAACAAATAAATTTTATATGAAGTACAATGAAAATACCATTCTACAAAAAAATCTTTACTTCAGTTATCACAGTTAAGGCAATCTGCACATGTGACAGACACATGTTCCATACACATGTATTGCTTACATGACAGCACACGTGTTTTGCTTTTTTAAACTTTTTCTCTGACCTACTTGGTATCTCAGTGGTCTTGATGTTTTATCAGGAGGTTCCTATTATATAGTGCATAGTTACCAGGAACATAAAATAGCAATAAAATAAAATATTAAATTCTTAATATGTACTAGGCATTTAGAATAGATATCAGCATTTTCATATAAGCTGTTTAGCTGCATACAAAACATGAAAGATAACATCAAAAAATAAAAGCCTATGTGAACTACAATGTAAGTACAAACAAAAGTCTACTGAAGAAATAATACTTTGCTTCAACTGTCACACCCAGGGCTGTCTTCACAGATGACAACAGAATATCCCATACCCAAATACTAGTCACATTCCTAGCACATATGTCTTCTTTTCCTGTCTTTATTTTTTTGTAGTACGCAGGATCAAACTCAAAACCTTGTGACTGTCAGGCAGGCACTTATGCTGCTGAGCTATCTCTCCTGCTTTCCCATCCTTTCTTGTAAGGCGCAGTTTTCCCCAGTGTGAATTCATTCATGTAACTTACAATAAATTTTGATAGCAAAGCTCCCCCAAATAATATACATACAGTTCCCCAAGCTTCTGTAGCGAAAACTTTCCCACACTGCTTACATATACAGATTTTCTATATGGCATGGATTCTTTTATGTTTCTGACAATCAACAGACGTGAGGAAAGCTTTACCACATTTCTTACATACGTAGGGCTTCTCCTCAGTGTGAAGCCTTTCATGTGATTTACAAGAAAATTGTGTAGTAAAAGCTTTTCCACAGTGCTTACACACATAGGGCTTCTCCCCAGTGTGAACTCTTTCATGTCTTTTACAATAAATTTGTACAGTAAAAGCTTTCCCACACTGTTTGCATACATAAGGTTTCTCCCCAGTATGAATCCTATCATGTGTTTTACAATTATATTGTGTAGTAAAAGATTTCCCACATTGCTTACAGACATAGGGTTTCTCTCCAGTGTGAATTCTCTCATGTCTTTTACAATAGCTTTGTATACTAAAAGCTTTCCCACACTGCTTACATATATAGGGCTTTTCCAAAGTATGAAGGCTTTCGTGTGCTTTACATGAACTTTGTGTACTAAAAGCTTTCCCACATTGCTTACAGACATAGGGTTTCTCTCCAGTGTGAATTCTTTCATGTCTTTTACAAACTCTATGTACAGTAAAAGCTTTTCCACACTGTTTACATACAAAGGGTTTCTCCCCAGTGTGAATCCTTTCATGGGCTTTACAATCATCTTGTCTACTAAAAGCTTTCCCACATTGTTTACATACATAGGGTTTATGCCCAGTGTGAATTCTTTCATGTCTTTTACAGTAACTTTGTATACTAAAAGCCTTCCCACATTGCTTACATACATAGTGTTTCTCCCCACTGTGAAGTTTTTCATGTAGTTTACATGAAAGTTGTCTACTAAAAGCTTTGCCACATTGCTTACATATATATGGTTTCTCCCCAGAGTGAACTCTTTCATGAATTTTACAATATCTACTTATACTAAAAGCTTTCCCACATTGTTTACATACATAGGGTTTCTCCTGCGTGTGAATACTTTCATGCCTTTTACAGTCTCTATGTGCAATAAAAGCTTTCCCACAGTGTTTACATACATAAGGTTTCTCCCCAGTATGAAGCCTTTCATGTAATTTACAATGAAATTTTCGACTAAAAGCTTTTCCACAGTGCTTACATACATAGTGTTTATTCCAAGTGTGTCTCCCTTCATGGATTTTAACATCACTGGGTGTACTGAAGGATTTTAAGTTTTCCTCATACACAAAGGTCATTTCTCTAAGCTGAGTTCTTACACTAAGATATGAGTAGAATTTCTCACATTGATGACATTCATAGGCTTGCTCTCCAGTCTTTGTCCTTGCATCCTGCTGAGAGGACTGAAATCTACTGCAGGTCCTTCCATGTTCATTACATTGATAGAGCTTCTCTTCTGATTCCCAAAGCTCACATGTCTCCAGTCCAGTGAGAGTGATGGTGGGCATATATAATGCATAATATTTCTGCAACTCTTCATATCTATTAAAAATCAAAACAAATGAACAAACGAAAAACACCAGTCACAATAAAATGGGTCTCCATATTAATGATTTACCACAAGTTCTGCTATGATTCCTCCTAAGCAATTCTGACAATCAACTGAATGCCCTGGAGGATTCCTTGGAAACATGCATTTCCATGAATGGTATTCATTTAGGAATTCTTTTTAAGTTGGTAAATTTTGCAATACAGATGGCCAGTTTCATTTTGGGCAATTGATTGATATACATGTATATCACATACTGATCATTTTGCTACCTTTTCCACCACTGCTGTCCCTTCTCTCTCCTTATCATTTATCCTCCTCATCTCCAAATCATCACTCTGCTTTTTTAACTGCCTCTCCTTTATTTTATTCCCTAACTTACATTTTTTTGTTCTTCACAATACAGGAAAGCTTGTGATCTTTCTCACTTTTTGTCTGACATTATCTTGCTTCACATTTATAATGAAGGCCCACCCATTTCTTTGAGCAAATGACATTTAATTCATCCTTGTATCTAATTAGATGGCATTTTTTTCTTCTTCTTTCAGTGATGGGGATTAGTAGTGAATTATAGCTACAGCTTTTTTACTTCGTAGGTTAGGAGAGATTCTCATTGATAATAAAGCTGCTCATGCTGGCTTTCAGCTTAGCAGCCTCCTGAATCAGGTTAGTGGAGTGCTAGGATTGTACAATCATGCCGAGTTTATCAAAATTTTTCTTTATCCATTCATCCAATGATGGACATCTACATTAATTCCATAGCTTAGCTGTTATAAATCGTTCTGCTTTGTGTATTCATATGCTATATCAGTATAACAAAAATTTCAAATTTTAGAACTATACTCAGGAGAGGTATTCTTCAATCAAATGGAAATTGTATTTTTTTACTTTTTGAGAAGTCTTTATACTGGTCATAATACTGGCTATAATTAACATTCCTATCAAAAATGGCAGAGAATTTAAAAACATAAATGGACATAATTCTCTGGAGGACTATAACAATAGCATTCATTTGTACTTGAAATACTGCTTCAAGGTTTCTAATCTTCTAGGTGCAAGACTATAAAAGAAGTTTCCGTCAAAACACAAAATTTATTTATTTTCATACATGCCTATACAAAGTACCGAAAGGAAAGTTCACACATTTTCATGGAGGTAATCATGAAATAAGATTTTCTACGTATATGGCAGAGTGTCATTTTTTGCATGATATAATGTGTTTCAGATATTAGAATATTTCTGTACTCAATTTTAAGAATATACACACTAAATCTATATACATCATTAGAAAATATTTGTGAGATTAAATAAATTTGAACATGGTCACATTTCCCTGGTTCTGATATTTGTGTTTATGCATTCACTTTTGAGGAACAGTTCTTTACTGAGTACAAATTACCTTTGATTTCTCCAGTCATTTTTGCTTTCTTCCTCCACTTCCTGGTTATCCCATGCTCCACCTGAATTGTAAACATATAAATAAATATAAGGGGACACTATATTATTGCATGAAAATGAATAGATTCAGAGGCAGGCATATAATTCAGTGGCACAGTGCCTGCCTGGCAAGTGCAAGGTCTGGAGTTAAAAAGAAAAATAATTCTAGTTAGGTTCCTGTGATAGTGTAACTAGATATGAGCTATTCTTCAAAAATGTTTTCACATTCTATTTAATGAAACTGCACTAGTGAGCAACAATGTTTTCTATAGAAATGAGAAAGTGATGTCATCCTTACCTATAGCTGCCACATTCATAAACGTTTCACTCATCACATCTCTGAAGAGCTCCTTTTGGGACGGATCCAGCAAAGCCCACTCCTCCATGGTGAAGCTCACAGCCACATCCTCAAAGGTCACTGCCTCCTAAATGATCACACATATGTTTCTTGCATGAAGGTTCAGACTTACAGACTGGGATCTTTCAACTTCTCTCATAAAATGCTGAACTGAAAGACTGGTGTGGTCATGCATGTATGAATGCTAGCACTCAGCAGGCTGACACAGGAAGGTGGCCAGGAGCTTGAGACTAGTGCAGACTACAAAGTGAGCTCAAGGTCAGCCTGAACTCCATAGCAAGACCCTACCTCAAAAACCAAAGAAAACTCTATGGTTACTGAAATTCATTTTCACTGGGTGAAATTTTATGACCTCTGTCTCAATGTTGGGTGAAAACAAATACAAATAGCCAGGTAGCATAGCCACAGCTACCTGTGTGTTTTCTCAATTGTTTTAGATTTTAGTGTATTTCCTGCTGAGCACTAAGCAATTCTCCAACAAAAATCATGGGCCAAAGTCAATGTGCCATCCAGAGAGAACAAAACTGACAAATTCAGAGTGTACCTCCAGTACACTGCTTTAAGAGAAGACTGGTGGGCAAAGAATGTGATACTGTTTTCATTATTGTGAATTATCACAGGGTGGCACACTGAGTTACAGCATTACCAGAAATAAATATAATGCCCCAAAGAAGCTTATAAAAAAAGGACAATTACTTCTACTGCTTGAAACATTATGATAGTTTACATTCTCTCCTATACTAAACAAACTCTACTATATACATATTTAACCTCAAATGCACACTTATTTAGGGGAAGAAAGTTCAAGGTTGTCTTTCAGAATGACATTCACAGTAAAAAAAGTTATACCATTTTTGACATAAAAATAATTGATGTTTAATTCAACCAAGCACTATGGTCATAGCCTATACTTGTGCTCACCTGTAATCCTACTACTCTAGGAGGGTGGGAAAGAGGACAACAGCTTTATGCTCACGGTAGAGAGAAACATTAGAATTCGAAATAATGACAACTAAAACTATAAAGGTTGCTTCTCAGAGTGAAGTTCATGGGACAATTCTTTACTATCACAGAAAATACCCTGTAACCATTTCTATTTCTAACATTCTCAATAAGCCTAGATAATATTGCCTAACTAATTACTTTTCAAAAATTTTTATATATTTGGTACATTGTCTTACTACAAAAGCTCAGACTCGTGGTGGTCCTTCTATTTTTGGGCTCCCCAGAGCTGGGAATACACACATCTGCAACCACACCTCATCCTGGTGGCTGTCTCGGCTGCCTGGGGCAGGGCTGGGTTGACCCAGATCCCTGCACTTGTCAAGCAGTTGCTTAGACTGATGAGCGACCTAGCCAGCCCTGCCTAACCAATTTCTAAGCAACCAATGGAGCTATAATTTCTAATTAGGGCTCAACAATGATTAGGAACACTATTGTATTCCTTGTAACTGACATGCTTGCTGAACACCTGGTGCTTTCTATCAGCTACAATTTTGCTTTTATTCATTCTTCATTACTTCATTTAACATTTGTTTTGAGACAGGGTCTCACTATGGAGTTCAAACTCACCTTGAAATCACTATGTAGGCCAGATTGAGCTTGAACTCCCAAGATTCCTTATGTCTAAACCCAAGTGCTGGGATCACAGCCATGTGCCATCACACTTTGGCAGTATTTCATTTTTCAAGTAATAGCCATAAAATACCCATGAATGATAATATTTATACAAGAGATGGTGCTCCTGAAGATTCAAAGTTTGGGTTTTACAGTCAGCCCTTTGTGGATAAGGTCCCATAGAGCAATACTTTCATCTTTGGTTCTTTACAGAATTTCCTGTTAATTATTTTTGCCATTCTAAACAAGAAACATTATTTCTTTCTTCATCATCACCATCAAACCCAGACTATGTGAGACCCTGCATCTAAATGCTTAACAAGTTTACCATAATTAGATGGTTTAGCCACTTTTACATTACTGAGTTAAAATAACAAATGGTCACAATTTAGAAGACACTTTTATCTAGCTTAATTTCAGCTTATGGTCTGCTAGATCCAAGGTAGAAACATTTGTTGCAGAAAATGAATGAAAACACATTGTACTGAGAAAGTGTGAAGGTAAAGAATTTTAATTATGCCAGTGGACTGGTAGGAAAAGTCAGTTCCAAATTACTAGTCCAGTTTTAGGATTAGTTACCTATATAGGTTGTTAGAAAGTAGTACAAAAGGCTGACAACATAATACTCTAAAATATATTTCATCAGGAAGTTTTACTGTGACCGAGTTAATTGGGAGTATCTCTTATCACACAGCATGGATGACAGGGGACAAGGTGAATGAAAAGAAATCCATTACTGTCTTAGATTGACTTCTGGTTAGGATCTACTGAATGGGGTTAGGACACTTGGATGATCTGTGTCATCACTTCTTTGTCGGCCTGGTTTGGATCCTGTATGTGGGGACTGTCCTTTTCCTTGGGAGAGAAGAAGCATCAACCTTCGCCTCACTTCCGGGCCATGGCATGACAGTGCTGGGACTTGTGCAGGTATTTCCTTCTTTCCTTCAGAATTTTCCTTCAGAATTCATGTAAAGGGGCTCCTCCTCCAGCATCTCTCCCTGAGGCAGTGGGATTCTTTGGGTAGCAGGCACTAAGCCAGCTCAGGCACCATCATGACCATTCCTCCTGTGTTGACCATGTTGACAGCCACCAGCAGTGTCATGGTGACAGTTCCTTGGCCACTGTGGTGTTGGTGTTGGCTCTTTTCTGTAAAATTTGTGCTCCTGCCAGACTGGCTGCTAATATGGTGCCGTGCGCATTGATGGGCTGAAAGACTGTCTACCCTTTGGTGGTCTGTGCCACTTGCTGCCCCTGGATGGCGATGTGCTGCTGTGTCTGTGTCTGGCCAGCCGAGACTGCTGTCTGGGGCTGCTAGATGATGATCTGCTGGGTCTGACCCTACTGGTCCTGCACCTGCACTGCCTGCCCACCCTGGATCTCAATCTGCCCAGGTGGGACCACTTATTAACTGGATCTGCTGCAGACTCTGTCCTGGACACAGGCACTTGCATGATGGTTTGACCATATCCTCCGGGGACAGCCTGGACCATGATGGGCTGTCCAGCAGAGGTGATTAACTGGCCTTCACTGACTTGTACCATTAAGGGTTGCCCTTGGACCTGCTGCTGGATCTGCCCAGCCTGCACAACAATCTGCTCCATGGAGGTATTGCCACTGGCTGTGTACTGCTCTATGGTGCTTCCACATCAGTCCTGCATGCAGCAAGCTTCCCGCTAAGACCCTCAAAGGAGGGAGGTGGTGTGTGCCGTGTCTCACTCCCAGTTAGCTGCCCGTGCTGATGGGCTCAAGTACCAGACTCTGAAGCCCAGCCTCAGAGATTGAGACTGGGCATGGTGGTGCACCCCAGCCTCCACTTCTACCACCTCGCAAAAGTGTAACAGATTTTAATATTCTGTTTTTGTGTAGACTTCCCAAAATCTTGACTATTCTATATATTAATGTATATTTGGGGGGGGGTGATCACGGCTAATTTGGGTTCTATATGTCTCACTTAACTGTATGTCAAATTCTTTTTCCAGGCTTGGAAAGCTATCTGTGATGAATTCGGTGGAAAAAAAAAATTTTTTTTTAATGATTTTTGCTAGCACCTTTTTTTTTTTTTTTTTGTATTTTAGGACAGGGCCTACAGAGTCTTACTGCATAGATTTGACTCATAGTGATCCTCCTGTTTACAGCCTCCCAAGAGCTGAGATTACAGGCCCACCACCACACCCAGTCTCAATCTGTCTCAGCGTGCCCCAGGCAGGCCCGGGTATCAAACTCCTGGCCCCTGTGTCTGCCTAAGCAGGCACTTTAATCCACTGAGCTATTTGGCCAGCCCTCACCTGATTTTTTGTTTCCATCCAAACTTGATTTTTTGCTTTGTACCATCTAACAACTGCTGAATTGAATTTTCATAGTTCCTATTATTAGTGAACACTTGTACACAGCATACTGGCTCATTCTGATGCATACATTTTCCTTTGTATTTTTAGTCTCTGGGATAATAAGAGATGCTGAACATTTTTTCATTTGCCATTTGTATTTCTTTCTCTGAGAAGTGTATATTCATGTCAGATGTCCTTTTTTGGAATGGTTCTTTGATTTTGGAGGGGCAGTTATTTTTTAATTCTTTATATGTTCTAGATAGAAGGTCTTCATAAGAGGTACATTTGGCTATCGTTTATTCCCACTTTGTGAGTTTTCTTTTTACTGCATTGGACATTTTCCTTAAGTGCTAAAAATTTTCAAAATGATGAGATCCCAGATGTTCATTCTTTGAAGTATTTCCCCTGTAGTTTGGTTTCTGTACATGAACTCTACCTAGCCATCTTTAAGACTTCTACCTACATTAATCCTCCAGAAGATTTAGAGTTTCCGTTTTTTAAATTATTTGTGTGTGTGTGTGTGTGTGTGTGTGTGTGTGTGTGTGTGTGTCCAGCTCAGCCCACCAGGGGGCGGGGCTGGCTGGCATGTGGTGCAGCAGGATTGAACCGCGGTCCCTGTGCTTTGCCAAGTTTGTTCTAAGTAGGTGCTTTAGACCACTGAGCCATCTCACCAGCCCCAGTTTCCATTTTTAATATTCAAATCTCTGAACCATTTTGACTATAGCTTTAGGCCTGATGATAAGCATAGTTCTGGTCTTAGCCTTCAGCATACAGAAAGCCAGTTTTCCCAGCACCATTTCTTAAAGAGGCTTTCTTTTTTTCAGTGAATAGGTTTCGCCCTTTAATAAAAGATAAGATGGCTGAGTGTATTTGCAGTAATGTTTCCATCTTCCAATCTTTTCCACTGATCCTTGGGTCTGTCGCTATGCCAGTACCATGTAGATTTTACCACAGTACCTTTATAGTAAAAATTCTGGTCAGGGATTGTGATACCTCCTGCCTATCCTTTGTTTCCCAGGATTGCTTTTGATATTTTGAGGCTCTTCTGGTTCCAAATGAATTTAAGGCAAGTTTTCTTTTCTTTTCTTTTTTTTAAATTTTATTTGTGTGTGTGTGTGTGGCC